CAGGAACATTTCAGAAATGAATAACATTCGCATTCTGGAAGTTTAATAAGGTAGAAGGAGGAGATGACTTTTTAAGGATTTTAATGTGGAAATAATACTTTTTTGTGGAAAGAACATATCAAACACACATTATTGTTCCAAGCAGACTATGTGTATATATAATGTGTATATATAATACATGTCCGGAGTGGTAGATCAGGAGGTAAATCAGAAGGTTGGCGATTCGATCACTGGCTCCTCCAGCTGCATGTTGGAGTGTCTTTGAGCAAGATACTGGACCCCAAATTGCTCTCGATGTTGTGCATCACTCTATGAATGTGTGTGAATTGGTGAACGTGGCATGTAGTGTAAAAGCATTTTGAGTGGTCAGAAAGGCGCTATACAAGTACAGTCCATTTACCATTTTACCATTTACCACTCTAAAACAAGTACAACACCCAAATACTACTGTTGCCAGACATTACAGTGACTGTCCACAGAGTGGTAGTGTTTGCTCAACCAAGACTCTCTTTGCCACTTATTCCACAGCTTGAACTGCTGTGGATGGAGCCTGCTGGGACTGAAATGTGGGTTTTTTTAATCACTGTCAAACCATAGTCACAGTGAACAAATAAAATCAGGGTCAGGATGTCAATAATTGTGAGTAGTGAGGCCCCATTGTTTCTCAGTATTTTATTAAAGTCACATTTCCCATGCATATGTTGCAGAGGATCTTCATATCTGGACATTTTTACCTTTCAAGAGTAACACAATTTATTCAGCGCAGAACAAAGTGCAGAGTGTATTGCTTCCTACTTTTTGTGGCATCAAACAAATGTAAAAAAAATTTGTAGTATCGTTTTGGTAACTTGCTAGAAAACAGGGTGAAAAACTGCAAAATGGGCTCTGATTCTACAAACACAGAAAGAATTAAAGACATTAAACAAAAAAAAAACATTAAAGCTGCACTAATCAATATTTTTACATTAGCAATGGGTCAAATAACTATGTGGAATGTGTGAAGTATTGCTCATGAAGAGAGAATTATCCCCTAACTGCAGTCCCTCTAAGTTGTTTTTTATTTGCTGTATTTTAGTATCTTTTATATTGTTTTGATTTTCCTTTACTATTTTCGTTCAGTCTTAAGTGCTCTCATCAGCCTCCAGCAGCAGCCTGTTTCAGCAAAACTGCTCTGATGAACCTACTGTACACAACCTCCCCAGCACCAAACTGCAGACAAAGTTAGTGACTAGCTGGTCACTCGTTAGCACTAAACTGCTAAACGGACAAATATTTTGCTAAGGAACCTCAGACATATTTGGGTTTAGTTAGTTTTGCTTTGTATTTAGTTGTAGTTGGTGTCCATTTTATTTACCACTTGGTTTCCACTGGAGAGGGACTAAAGATCTGCAGATTGCCTGCCCCTGGGCTAGCTGGTGAACATAGTGGAGCACTTAGCAGCTATTTCCCTCAGAAGTTGGTGGAGACCAAAAATTAAGCTAGAAGAGACTGAATATTGGACTATTGGATAATGTAGCTCCGTAATTGCTGGATGTGGAAATAAGTAACTGTTTGCTAACAAGTTTGCCAATATCAAGTGATATAATAATTCAGTTCAGTTTTATTTGTATAGCAGCAAGTCATAACAGAAGTTATCTCAGGACACTTAAATACAGCAGGTCTGTGTTAAGGCTGTACTTGATAATGATTTACAGAGACCCAACAGTTCCCAAGCACTTGGTGACAGTAGCTAGGAAGAGGCAGGAGCTTTTAAGAGGCAGAAACCTCGAGCAGACCCCGTCTCAAGGTGACCAGCTGTCTG